TCACCCAGTAAAATTCTACTTGAGTAAAAGTCTAAAAGTATTTGGTTTAAAATATACTTAAGTATCAAAAGTAAATGTAATTACTAAAATATACTTAAGTATCAAAAAGTAAAAGTATAAATATTTTCAAATTCCTTATATTAAGCAAACCAGGCTGCACCATTTTCTTGTTTTTTATTTACAGAGCCAGAGGCACACACCAACATTCAGACATCAAGTTCGGTTAATAAAAAAAGTGGTCAGATGACGCAGATGCTAAGCTACAGGACTGTTTTGCTAGCACAGACTGGAACATGTTCCCGGGATTCTTCAGATAGCATTGAGGAGTACACCACATCAGTCACTGGCTTCATCAATAAGTGCATCGATGATGTCGTCCCCACAGTGACCGTACGTACATACCCCAACCAGAAGCCATGGATTACAGGAAACATCCGCACTGAGCTAAAGGGTAGAGCTGCCGCTTTCAAGGAGCGGGACTCTAACCCGGACGCTTATAAGAAATCCCGCTATGCCCTCCGACGAACCATCAAACAGGCAAAGAGTCAATACAGGACTAAGATTGAATCGTACTACACCGGCTCTGACGCTCGTCGGATGTGGCAGGGCTTGAAAACTATTACAGACTACAAAGGGAAGCACAGCCGCGAGCTGCCCAGTGACACAAGACTTCCAGACGAGCTAAACCACTTCTATGCTCGCTTCGAGGCAAGCAACACTGAAGCATGCATGAGAGCACCAGCTGTTCCTGATGACTATGTGATCACGCTCTCCGTAGCCGATGTGAGTAAGACTTTTAAGCAGGTCAACATTCACAAGGCCGCAGGGCCAGATGGATTACCAGGACGTGTACTCCGAGCATGTGCTGACCAACTGGCAAGTGTCTTCACTGACATTTTCAACATGTCCCTGACTGAGTCTGTAATACCAACATGTTTCAAGCAGACCATCATTGTCCCCGTGCCCAAGGACTCTAAGATAACCTGCCTAAATGACTACTGACCCGTAGCACTGACGTCTGTAGCCATGAAGTGCTTTGAAAGGCTGGTCATGGCTCACATCAACACCATTATCCCAGAAACCCTAGACCCACTCCAATTTGTATACCGCCCCAACAGATCCACAGATGATGCAATCTCTATTGCACTCCACACTGCCCTTTCCCACCTGGACAAGAGGAACACCTACGTGAGAATGCTATTCATTGACTACAGCTCAGCATTCAACACCATAGTGCCCTCAAAGCTCATCACTAAGCTAAGGATCCTGGGACTAAACACCTCCCTCTGCAACTGGATCCTGGACTTCCTGATGGGCCGCCCCCAGGTGGTAAGGGTAGGTAACAACACATCTGCCACACTGATCCTCAACACAGGGGCCCCTCAGGGGTGCGTGCTCAGTCCCCTCCTGTACTCCCTGTTCACCCATGACTGCATGGCCAGGCACGACTCCGACACCATCATTAAGTTTGCCGACGACACAACAGTGGTAGGCCTGATCACCGACAACGATGAGACAGCCTATAGGGAGGAGGTCAGAGACCTGGCCGTGTGGTGCCAGGATAACAACCTCTCCCTCAACGTGACCAAGACAAAGGAGATGATTGTGGACTACAGGAAAAAAAGAGGACTGAGCACGCCCCCATTCTCATCGACGGGGCTGTAGTGGAACAGGTTGAGAGCTTCAAGTTCCTTGGTGTCCACACCAACGAACTATCATGGTCCAAACACACCAAGACAGTCGTGAAGAGGGCACGACAAAGCCTATTCCCCCTCAGGAGACTGAAAAGATTTGGCATGGGTCCTCAGATCCTCAAAAAATTCTACAGCTGCACCATCGAGAGCATCCTGACTGGTTGCATCACCGCCTGGTATGGCAACTGCTTGGCCTCCGACCGCAAGGCACTACAGAGGGTAGTGCGTACGGCCCAGTACTTCACTGGGGCCAAGCTTCCTGCCATCCATACCTCTATACCAGGCGGTGTCAGAGGAAGGCCCTCAAAATTGTCAAAGACTCCAGCCACCCTAGTCATAGACTGTTCTCTCTGCTACCGCACGGCAAGCGGTACAGGAGTGCCAAGTCTAGGTCCAAAAGACTTCTCAACAGCTTCTACCCCCAAGCCATAAGACTCCTGAATAGCTAATCATGGCTACCCAGACTATTTGCACTGCCCCCCCACTCCATCTTTTTATGCTGCTGCTACTCTGTCAATTATTTATGCATAGTCACTTTAACTCTACCCACATGTACATATTACTTCAACTACCTCAACTAGCCGGTGCCCCCGCACATTGACTCTGCACCGGTACCCCCCTGTATATATAGCCTCCCTATTGTTATTTTATTTTACTTCTGCTCTTTTTTTCTCAACACTTTTTTGTTGTTTTATTCTACTTTTTTATTAAAAATAAATGCACTGTTGGTTAAGGGCTGTAAGTAAGCATTTCACTGTAATGTCTGCACCTGTTGTATTCGGCGCATGTGGCCAATAAAATTTAATTTGATTTGATTTGATCATTACAAACAAAGTTTTTGTGTTTAGTGAGTCTGCCAGATCAGAGGCAGTAGGTATGACCAGGGATGTTCAGTTGATAGTGCGTGAATTGGACAATTTTCCTGACCTGCTAAGAATAAAAATGTAATGAGTACTTTTGGGTGTCAAGGAAAATGTATGGAGTAAAAAGTGCAATATTTTCTTAAGGAATGTAGTAAAGTAAAAGTAGTCACAAATATGAATTGGAAAGTAAAGTACAGATACCCTAAAAAAAATACTTAAGTAGTACTTTAAAGTATTTTTACTTAAGTAGTTTACACCACTGACTACAGACACAATTTTCTACTACTGTTCTAAACACTTCCACATCTTGTTAGGATCCACCCCGGCGACGTACTGCCTGCAGATCCTTGTTGGCCCCCATGGTATCTAGATCAGTTCAATGCAATCGTACTTTTACATGACAATTGGTCAGTGCTATCTGAAATCCTTGGGACGTCCCTACCCTAAACTCTAACCCTAACCTTAACCCGTTTAAACGTCAACTTCAATGGGGTAGGGACGTTCCAAGGATCTTTATAACACGAACCCATGACAAATGGTATGTTTCACATCCCATCATGCATTGCGGTATGCTAGCTACATTATTATTTTTTAAATACAAACTATGCACACCTTGGGTTATCGAAACGTTTTGCACACATTTTGGTCCTAATATATTACGATTGCACACAAATTAGCACCACATTGTACCGCGACGTTATTGTGAACCGTCTCCGTAAATTGTATCCTCCGTGGTGGCTACCTTGCCTTTTTCAAGTGGTTAATCAGCTTTGCGCAGTGGCAGTATCGTAGCCGATGAGGTTTATCCGAGGCGCGATTATTGCTAGTTGAAAACTTTACCCAATACCCCGCCGTGACGACTTGAAATATAGTCGGCATTGGCAATTTTTGACGGTCTCTAAGGAGACTGATTTCTCTGTTAAAATTAGTAATGGTAGGAAATATCTTGCTGAAGCGGTCGTCTTAGGAGCTTATTGAATATGCCAACATTTGCAGATGTGTTATTGACTGTGTATTTGTAATGCACATACCTTAATATGAGATTTACCATATCTCTGCACTTCAATGAAAATATGCTACATATATCCCAATCAGAGTGATTTTTATGTAGTGAGTGTGCGAGTTTGTAGACAGTTTGTCCATTATCGAACCATGTCTCTGACTTTGGAACTAGTTCAAACTGTTTTCCCATTGGTTTGTTTTTTGTCGCTGTTTACCGGTAGTTGGTTTTATGTTGCTACTACTGAGTAAAAGCAGGAAAAATAAAAACATTTGTACCACAGATAGAATAACAGTGGTGGAAAAGGTACTGAAAGCCAGGGAGGGACACACTCCAACGCTCAGACATAATTTACAAATGAAGCATGTGTGTTTAGTGAGTCCACCAGATCAGAGGCAGTAGGGATGACCAGGGATGTTCTCTTGATAAGCGCGTGAATTGGACATTTTTTTCTGTCCTGCTAAGCATTCAAAATGTAATGAGTACTTTTGGGTGTCAAGGAAAATGTATGGAGTAAAAAGTACTATATTTTCTTTATAAGGAATGTAGTGAAGTACAAGTAAAAGTTGTCAAAAAATATAAATAGTAAAGTACAAATACCCCCCAAAAACTATTTAAGTAGTACTTTAAAGTATTTTGACTTAAGTACTTTACTCCACTGTAGAATAATAAGCCAGATATTTCACCGGATGTATAAATGTGAAGCATCCATTTGGCGTTTACACTCACTACCAAATATGGTGGAGAGGAAGCTCAGTGCCCGGCAGTGGGAGAAGATGGAGCGAGATGGATTTTGGGCGAAATTTTGCACATTTACTAATCGATGAAGCTAGCGATGGGGAAACGAAGATTCCTGAAGCATTGAGCATTTCCAGACAATTGTGTCGAAAATAGGTTCATTACACGAGGCTTTGATCAAGACGGTGTACACTAGTTGCACCTGCTGGTCAAAATAAGCCCTTTCCTATTCTACCGGAATCAATACCAAACCAATCGGGTGGTTGTTCGACAAAACAAAGCGTCGGACGTAATTGATCACGTGCTTCTGATAAAGCCATATCGGCACACTGATTCGAAGTAAACTTGATTTCGATGCATGCCTCAGAGCTCCGGTATCAGACGTAACATCACTAGATGAAACATTTGATCGCCATACAGTTTTCTGTTTCCAAAACTAGAATCCGTAACAAACACAATGTACTGCGTTTTGTAGACTTTACCCTTTGCCAAAGTTTCAAAAAATTGTGTTGTTTAGCTATGCTAATACATGCTAGAACCTTGCTTGTTCTATGAACGACAGGCCCTGGTCTATCTTGGGTTAGTTATACAAATCTTTGTTGTACCCTGTTATTTTCCATCATCAGAGCCGGCTAGAAATAGTAACATATTTTACCGTAAGTACTGCTGTTTGGTTGGCTAGCGCAATTAAATTGCTGTCCATGGTGAGTACATTTGCATTATTTTTTGCAATATTGAAACCTGGAGCTCTGTGATTGAGAAGATATACATTGGACATGCTTCTACCATTTTGCACCTTAGATATCGTACTATCGATAATATTAATAGCCATCGTAGTTGTTTGCGCATTAACCTCAATCATTACGGTACAATTATATGTTGACGTTCTTGCTGATTTCGTAGCCACAATGAAATATCATAATAGGCCACTTTTTCTGTGTATAAATGTAATATTTGTAGGATTAATAGGCCGTCCTTCACACCGTGTAGTCAGTAGTAGATATTGTAACCTAAATACCTAGTTAGCTACAGTGAGTTACAACACAAAAAGTAGCTAGCTAGATACATCAGCCGACTGCCTTCCATAGCTCCCGCTAACGTTACTAGTTAGCTAGCTGTAACAGTGATACCGCCACGTCTTCTTATCCTCCCACCCGGATACTGAGTGACCTTTACAATGGCCGCTGCAAGAAAGCGTAAGCTATCGGGCATCGAAGATGTGATTGACAGAAAAGCAAAGATTATCAAAGACAGCGGTGAGAAGAGACACATTGCAGCCCTGATCCTCGCGAGGGGAGGTAGTAAGGGGATCCCCCTGAAGAATATCAAAATGCTAGCCGGTGTCCCCCTCATTGGATGGGTTCTGAGAGCTGCAGTGGACTCCAAACAGTTTGACAGGTAATTCAGTTCAATCTAATAGTCAAATGTCTTTCAATCTAACTACAGTATACAGTTCAATGTAATAGTCAAATGTCTTTCAATCTAACTAGAGTATATGGAGTTGCTTTGATAGAAACTTGGTAGGCTAGCTACATACAACCCACATGAAAAAATACTAGTATACTATGATATAAATACTATAGTATTCACTGTAGTGTTTTTGCGGACTTTACTGTAGTATACTGTATTATTTACAGTTAACTATAGTTTACATGCTGTAGTAAAATAACTGTGATTGCGCAATGTAGTATACTGTAGTATTTACTGTAGTGTTTTTGCGGACTGTAGTATACTGTAGTATTTACTATAGTGTTTTTGTTTTAATATCTTTGACATAGAAGTGAGGGCTTTCTCCTTGAGGAAACCTACTAAACCTATTTTCCATAACCTGTAGATAGGACTGGAGTGTGAACAGATAGGTCAGTGCTTCTGCTCTTTTCTAACTGTAGGGAACACAATAGATGGTCTATACTTGGCATGTAGGTTTCTCACTTATGGGTGGCACAAATTAATATGCCATGCCATTTAGCAGACGCTTTTATCCAAAGCGACTTACAGTCATGCGTGCATACATTTTTGTGTATGGGTGGTCCCGGGGATCGAACCCACTACCTTGTCGTTACAAGCGCCGTGCTCTACCAGCTGAGCTACAGAGGACCACAAATTGGGATATGGGGGAGGTGAATGGGCAGGGTATATGCAAATTACTGTAGTATTTACTATAGTTAAAAAGGGTGGTGTTTTTGCGGACATTACTGTAGCATTTGCTACAGTGTTTTTTTGCAGATACTACTGTAGTATTTACTATAGTATTCTACAGTATACTACAACATTCTCTACTAAGTACTACACATGATCAAGGGATACTACAGTGTGTAGTATATTATTCTACAGTATACTATAGTTTATTACAGAATTCTATAGTAAGTATTGTAGTATTCTATAGTAAACTGTAATATTTTTAAATGTGGGAAAGCATGTTGACATTCTTGTTTTGGGTGGATGGATAATATTGTTATTTGAAAGTTAGTGTACTGTCTCTGAATGAACCCCCTGGCTTGGGCTTGGCCACACAAGACTGGATTGGACTGATGTAGCCTACTTGTTACAAAGCCTGAGGAATCAACTTCTTCCGTTCTTTCTCCCAGTGTGTGGGTATCAACTGACCATGATGACATTGAGAAGGTGGCCAAGGCATGGGGAGCTCAGGTTCACCGCAGGAGCCCAGAGGTGTCCAAAGACTCATCCAGCTCTCTGGACACCATCCAGGAATTCGCTAGATTAAACCCAGGTAGGGGGTGAATCTCAATTGTATTTCCTTGATTCCTCATGTCCTCTCTCCTTGCCTCCTTCTCAAAATGCATTAGTGGAGGATATCTGAGTGGAGGAACCTCAGATCTTCTGCTCCAATGTGCTGTGACAAGGAGGGAGGCGTGAGGAATCAAGGAAATACAATTGAGATTCACTTTATGACATAGCAACAGGGAAGTGTCAACGTTGGTTATCATTTATTGTGACAGAACCACACCCTCTTTGACATTTCACAATCGTTTGTAATGACTGTTTGGCAGTGCTTTGTTATAGATGTCAGCCGTTAATGGAATATATGCAGAACATGTTTATCCACTAGCTAGACTAAGGATCTGGGGCGGTATGTATCAAGCATCTCAGAGTAGGAATACTGATCTAGGATCAGGTCCCACCTGTCCATGTAGTCTTATTCATTGTGATCTATGAGGCAACATTTGGGATTATCCCAATAAAGTGGGACCCACTCCATAGCTACAGTTGACAACAGTGGCAGCATATACAAGATTATTACCGTTTCACATACTCATCTGATCTCAAATGGTATCTCATAGTCTGCTGTGTGTTGTCCTCCTCCAGAGGTGAATGTGATCTGTCACATCCAGGCCACGTCTCCCTGCCTGCACCCCTTCCACCTGAAGGAGGCCCTGGAGATGATCACCAACCAGGGCTGCCAGTCCGTCTTCTCCGTGGTCCGACGACACCACTTCCGCTGGCAGGAGGTCAAGAAAGGAGGTACGGGATGGCCTTGTGTTATGTTTAGGGCCTTACACTTAGGCACGGTTTCCCGGATACAGATTAACAATAGTGCTGGATTAAGAAGCAAGGTCAATGGAGTAACATTGAAAATTATTTTTAGTTCAGGATTAGGTTTAATCTGTGTGGGGAAAAAACACCCCAGGGCTACTTTAAAAGTAGGGTCAGGATTTTTTTCCTGACCACGTGACTGTCTATCACAATAGAGAGATGGGGGGTGATTAAACAAGTGAGTTTTTCTCCTGACCAGGAAGTAGTCTGGTTTCTAGTTATAACCTATTAACTCATATTATGTGTTCTCTCTCCTCTTCAGGTAGTGTAGCCACCCAGCCTCTCAACCTGGATCCATCCAACAGGCTCCGGAGACAGGACTGGGATGGAGAGCTGTGTGAGAACGGATCTTTCTATTTCTCCACCAGAGCCCTTATCGAGAAAGGCGTACTGCAAGTAACTGTCACCATGCCCCATCATGGCCCATATTCACAAAGCGACTCAGGAAGTAGTGCTGGTCTAGGATCAGTTTTGAAAGAATAGTGAGGAGACCATCTGAACTTCAGTATTATGCTGTTATTAAAGTTTAAACAAGGATTGGTTCTTAAGGCTTCATCAGCCTGGTTATTAGTTGGTCACAGTCAATAGTTCCTCAATTCATTATTGCATGTTCAGCCTAGGAGAGCCTGTAGTGTGTGTGTGTGAGAGAAATTCCTCTTCATTCGTTTATTAGTAACATTCCCCAACAATATCACTCTGTATGCCGTAGTGACTATGATATTATTAACAAATATCCACTTCTAACACAATCACAATGAATACGATTATATGGACAGGGAGGACCTGATCCTAGATACGTGCCCAGATGTTTATCTCTGCTGTTGGTGGTGACTAAGCTTATTTCCTTACTGGGATCAATAAAGTTTATTCATTCAGTGGACGTGCGCTTGTCTAGAAACAAAATACACACTGAGAGATGGACTGATCTGTGATACTACTAGATATTCTATTGTCAACTGGTGTTGATTGAATGTTAATAGAAATGCCCTTTCTCTTGTGTTGTCTTTCTCAGGGGGGAAAGTGGGCTTACTATGAGATGCTGCCAGAGTACAGTGTGGATATTGATGTTGATATCGACTGGCCCGTGGCAGAACAGAGAGTACTGAGGTAGTCTGAAATCACTGACCTAGAGCTTCAAGTTCTCTCTCTGAAAATGTTTACTTGAATGCTATTTGAATGCACTTTAAATTCGATTTAGTGGTAAAGCAACACAATGCTGTAACACAGAGGAGTGATTCTCCAAATGTATTTCCCTGTGTGTTGTGTTGTTCCTCTCCAGGTTTGGTTACTTTGGCCTGGACAAGCCTGAGGTGGTGCGCCTGCTGCTGTGTAACATCTCAGGCTGTCTGACTGATGGCCGCGTCCTCATCTCTGTCTCTGGAGAGGAGATGGTCTCAGTCAACACCAGAGATACCATGGGTATCCGCATGCTGCAGAGAGAGGGGGTGGAGGTACAATACAGAACATTTCAATGGTTTCCTTTACAAATTCGACATTACAAAGTATCAATGGCAACTGATGCTGAAGTATGACACAATTCACATAAATACACTATGCACAAGAAAATCATCAACACAAAAAAAGACAACTTTAAAATACATATGTTTTGGGAGACCGTCAGTTCTAAGGGTAAGACGGAAGTGGTAGTCCCTAGCTCACTGGTTAAGCAGCCTAGTCATCTATGATTCTGGTTAAGCAGCCTAGTCATCTATGATTCTGGTTAAGCAGCCTAGTCATCTATGATTCTGGTTAAGCAGCCTAGTCATCTATGATTCTGGTTGAGCAGCCTAGTCATGTACATTACATTCAGAAAGTATTCAGACCCCTTGACTTTTTCCACATTGTTAGGTTAGACGTATTCTAAAATGGATTAAATAATTGATTTCCCCTAAATCTACACTCAGTACCCCATAATGACAAAGCAAAAACAGGTTTTTAGAATTTTTAGCAGATGTATACAAAATAAATATATCACATTTACATAAGTATTCAGACCCTGTACTTTGTTGAAGCACCTTTGGCAGCGATTACAGCCTTGAGTCTTCTTGGGTATGACGCTACAAGCTTGGCACACCTGTATTTGGGGAGTTTCTCCCATTCATGTCTGCAGATCCTCTCAAGCTCTGTCAGGTTGGATGGGGAGCGTCACTGCACAGCTATTTTCAGGTCTCTCCAGAGATGTTCGATTGGGTTCAAGTCCGGGCTCTGGCTGGGCCACTCAAGGACATTCAGAGACTTGTCCCGAAGCCACTCCTGCATTGTCTTGGCTGTGTGCTTAGGGCCGTTGTCCTGTTGGAAGGTGAACCTTCACCCCAGTCTGAGGTCCTGAGTGCTCTGGAGCAGGTTTTCATCAAGGATCTCTCTGTACTTCACTCCGTTCATCTTTCCCTCCATCCTGAATAATCTTCCTGTCTCTGAAAAACATCCCTACAGCATGATGCTGCCACCACCATGCTTCACCGTAGGGATGGTGCCAGGTTTCCTCCAGACATGACGAGTTCAATCTTGGTTTTATCAGACCAGAGAATCTTGTTTCTCATGGTCTAAGAGTCCTTTAGGTGCTTTTTGGAAAACTCCAAGTGGGCTGTCATGTGCCTTTTACTGAAGAGTGTCTTCTGTCTGGCCACTCTACCATAAAGGCCTGATTGGTGGAGTGCTGCAGAGATGGTTGTCCTTCTGGAAGGTTCTCCCATCTCCACAGACGAACTTCGGAGCTCTGTCAGAGTAACCATCTGGTTCTTGGTCACCTCCCTGACCAAGGCCCTTCTACCCAGATTGCTCAGTTTGGCGGACAGCTCTAGGAAGAGTCTTGGTGGTTCCAAACTTCTTCCATTTAACAATGATGGAGGCCACTGTGTTCCTGGGGACCTTCAATGCTGCAGACATTTTTTGGCACCCTTGCCCAGATCTGTACCTCGACACAATCCTGTCTCGGGAGCTCTACGGACAATTCCTTTGACCTCATGGCTTGGTTTTTGCTCTGACATGCACTGTCAACTGTGGGATCTTAGATAGACAGGTGTGTGTCTTTCCAAATCATGTCCAATCAATTGAATTTACCACAGGTGGACTCCAATCAAGTTGTAGAAACATCTCAAGGATGATCAATGGAAACAGAATGCACCTGAGCTCAATTTGAGTCTCATAGCAAAGGGTCTGAATACTTACGTAAATAAGGTCTTTTTTTTATTTGTAACACATTTGCTAAAATTTAGAAAACCCTTTTTTCGCTTTGTCATTATGGGGTATTGTGTGTAGATTGATTAGGAAAATGTTTAATTTAATCAATTTTAGAATAAGGCTGTAACGTAACAAAATGTGGAAAAAGGGAAGGGCTCTGAATACTTTCCGAATGCACTGTAAATCCACTCCACCAACTGCAGTTTAATAACCAAAATCAAATAAAAAATCAAACTCAAGGTGTCATGTCATAGCTGACACACCATTCTTTCTGGCCAGTGACAGTTAACCTCACATAACATGTTCAACTTAAAGCAGCATTAAGCTACTATAAAATCTCAAAAGAAAAGCATTAATCCAATCATTTTACATTTGTCATTTAGCCAGAGCGATTTACAGGAGCAATTAGGGTTAAGTGCCTTGGTCAAGGGCACATTGACAGATTTTTCACCTAGTCCGCTCGGGGATTCGGACCAGCGACCTTTTGGTTACTGGCTCAACGCTCTTAGCTGCTAGGCTACCTGGCTTCCCTTGTTTTGGCTTTGTGGCAGTATTAAGGATACATTAAGTTATGTAAAACCAGTTAGGTTGCTTAACAGAACAGGATGTTTCACACCGTCTGCTCCTGGTATATCTAGATTTAGCCCATACCTTATCACTGAAACCACCGCCCATTAAACACACACACATAGGCTACTATTTACTTTAACTGTCATATGACATTATTTGTTTGAGTTTCCTCATACCCTCTAAGGACACATCTCAAATGACATCCTTATTCACATTATTGACCCGAACCGTACTGTGCTGGCTAGGCTATTGTCTTCTCCCACGGTCGGTTCCAGAAACTATGGTGGATGCGTAACCAGGCCGTCTCAGATATGAAAACTGTATTTTGTCTCTCCTCCAGGTGATCTTGATCTCCTCCAGTGAGGACCCCCAGACCAAGGCCCTGGCTGACAAGCTGTCCCAGAGGACAGGCTGCGAGGTCAGGCAGCTGGGCAAGGACATCCAAGGTGAGGTCAAAGCCATGATGGACGACAGGGATCTGGACTGGAAGGAGGTCGCCTATATGGGTAAACTCACTATTCTTTTCATTTAACAATTTACTACTACTGTTACTATTACGAATACTACTACTACTACTAATGCATTTTAGTTATATAGCACAGTTTTTAAATATAATGGAATCTTAAGGTTCTTAACCTTCTATTTTGAGTAATACTTGTGTGTTTTGTATTTTTATTTTTTAATATTTTTATTTCACCTTTATTTAACCAGGTAAGCCAGTTGAGAACAAGTTCTCATTTACAACTGCGACCTGGTGTTCATGTCAATCAAAACGTATGAAGATCTTTATTTGGAGCCCTTCTGAGATGGAAAGGTAGAATAGGCTAGATATCTCTCAGGAATGTGACCGTAGCAGGGGTGTTTGATAACCACGTATCAATGAAACTCAGACAGTAAATGTCAACAGTGAATTTTGAACCAGTTGAACCTGCAGATTGAACTTGATTGTAATTGGCATGGTCAAACACTCAAATCAAATCGTGAAATGCTTACTTTACACAGCCCTTAACCAACATGCAGTTTTTAAGAAAAATAGTGTTAAGTAAAAAATAGATAGGTAGGTTAAAAGTGACTATGCATAGATAATAACAGAGAGTATCAGCAGCGTAAAATAGGGGCCTTGTGAATGTTGACCTGTTTAAATGTCCGTGATCGCACAGTCATCCGGAACAGCTGATGCTCTTATGCATGCTTCAGTGTTGCTTCCTCAGTGAGCATAGATTTAATTTAGATCGTCTGGTAGGCTCGTGTCAATGGCAGCTTGCGGCTGTTCTTCCCTTTGTAGTCTGTAATAGTTTGCAAGCCCTGCCACATCTAACGACGTCGGAGCCGGTTAGTATGACTCAATCTTAGTCCTGTATTGACGCTTTGCCTGTTTGATATGGTTCGTCGGGAGGGGCATAGCGGGATTTCTTATAAGCGTCCATGTTAGAGCCCCGCTCCTTGAAAGCAGCAGCTCTACCCTTTAGCTCAGTGCGATGTTGCCTGTAATCCATGCTTCTGGTTGGGGTAATGTACGTACAGTCCACTGTGGGGACGACGTCTCGATGCACTTATTGATGAAGCCAGTGACTGATGTGGTATGGGAATTAAAAGCCCGGGAAAAAAGGAACTAACATCTTCCCATTTCCCCCTTTCAACATTCACACCCCAAAACCCCTCCTTTTTTTTTTTCTCCTTGGTTTTCCTTTCCTCCCCCCCTTTCCAACCCTTTATTTTTCCCCCCCCAACCCCCCCCCCCACCCCTCCAAACCCCCCTCCTCTCTCTCCTCTCATCCCCCCTGTTTTTCCCCATGCCAGGAAGTGATTGTAAGGGTTTTTCAAAAAATTAAATAAATTGCCCCCATTCAAAGCTCCCTATTATTTAAGGGAGACAGGGGGAAAAAAAGGGTTTATTAAAAAGCTCCTCTATTTTTAAGGGGGGAACAGGGGGGAAAATGATTAAAAAATTCCCCTAAAATTTTAAAAGGGGGGACAGGGGAACTGTCTGATTTAATAGCTCCTCTATTGTAAGGGGGGAAGGGGGGAAAATTTTCTGATTAAATGGGTCCCCTATTAGAAGGGGGGCGGGGGAAAAATGCCCGATTAAATAGCTCCTCTATTAGTAAGGGGGAGACGGGGGAAACTGTCTGATTAAATAGCCTCCTCTATTAGTAAGGGGAGACAGGGGGAAACTGTCTGTTAAATAGCTCCTCTATAGTAAGGGGAGACAGGGGGGAAACTTGTCCTGATTTAAATCAGCTCCCTATTAGAGTAAGGAGGAGACCAGGGGCAAACTGCCTGATTAAATAGCTCCTCTATTAGTAAGGGGGAGACAGGTTTGGTTTAAGTGCTCATTGTGTAAAGAGTGTCTCTATTTTCCCTCTGCTTGTATGCTAGGCTAAACCACTGCAGAAAACTACTGGATTGTTCATTAATTTGGCATGCCACTGCCAGTCACTGAATATTTATGGTTATAAGTGAGAAGGGAGGTGCCAGCAGTCAAATCCTGTAGAATTTGGGATAGAATTTTCCAATTTAATCAATTTCTAAAAAGAAAATAGTTTTTTTTATGATTCTCTTAAATCATGTCATATTTTGCATGTTTTTTTATGTTATGTTTTTGCAACATACTAATTAATCATCCTAAAAATACTTCAGAACCACCTAATGGATACTTTTTAATAGGAAAATGTACTTATCTCAACCCTCCATCTCTCCCTCCTACAGGTAATGATGCCCCAGATGTTGACTGTCTGAACCTGGCTGGGCTGAGTGCAGTACCCCCCGGGACGCCCCCAGTGGTGGCGGATCAACGCTGCTAAATACTCCTGCCACAATGCTGCAGGGCTGGGGGCTGTGAGGGGAGTTTGCTGAACACATCCTGCTGCTGAAGAAGAAGGCCAAGTCTCAGATGGAACAGGACCGCATACACAGAAGTACATTCTAAACTCTAGAATGTCTTCTAAAGTCACAGAGATCCATTCTAAACTCTAGAATGGGTTCTACAGTCACAGAGATCCATTCTAAACTCTAGATGTGTTCTACAGTGACAGAGAATCCATTCTAAACTCTAGAATGTGTTCTACAGTCACAGAGATCCATTCTAAACTCTAGAATGGTGTTCTAAAGTCACAGAGATCCATTCTAAACTCTAGAATGTGTTCTAAAGTCACAGAGATCCATTCTAAACTCTAGAATGTATTCTGAAGTAGGGATGGACATTTTAAATAATTTCACTATTCGAAAAATATCATGACATTTTTTCGGATATCCGGATAGTTTTAAACGTGGACACTTGTTTGCTGCGCAGCCTGCACAACTCGGGAGAAACTGTGGGGGCAGGGACCGGTGGTGTGCGACACAGTTGGGAGATATAAAAAGTAGCCACTGACTCGCGCTAGTTAGATAACCTATGGCATTTACAAGTGTCTATCATCCCATCTGGCAGTGCATGTCTTTACTGCATCAAATCAATGTAAAGATGCTAGCTAAAACAGCCAAACGTTAGCTAGCTAGGCTAGTTGAGGCCATTTTGCTGCGCTCCCTGGCCATGTCTACAACAGCCCAATTCAGATTAAACAGCCTACCTGAAGGTTGCTCGTTATGGCCTACTCCTCATTTGCATTGATTTTGAGAACTCCCACTTCCCGTTGCTACACATGGAGCCTCTGACTGTAGCGTCAACAAAAGCAAGCTAAGTGAAACCTGTGTATGTTTTGAAATTACGTTCAAATTTGTGACATTGTTTTATGAAATTAAGAATGTCATGGTATATCCTTGTGTGTAGCAATGTCACATAGTGTTGATAATCACAAGTTTACTGGAGAACTGAGACCAAGTAGAGACTTTGGACAGGGTGGATATGGTATAATGAAGGCAGTTTATTCAGAGGTAAAGATATCTGGAATCGCGTGCACGGACTCGTTCGTCAAACTCTTAGGGAGCTATCTGAAGAGAGCCCCGAAACATTGTGTGCAGACATTTTATGCAATAAATGAAGTAGGTTGAATCTAGTAGTTCTGATCTTCTGATTGGTCCTGATGAGTTGGGCGAGGTCCCCTCCAGGCTAGTGTCACTGTTGCATTGGCTCTGAGTCGGGTTCTCTGTCTTCAAATGTTCAGCCTAAAAGAGGGGATTTTTGTGTGTGTGTGTGTGTGTTTAACAGTGATGATGTGTGTGTGTGTGTGTGTTTAACAGTGATGATGTGTGTGTGTGTGTGTGTGTGTGTGTCCTCAGAGCAAGAACTCGTGAGTTGGAAGAACTGAGAGGCCTATGGCGTGGGTGTTGTCCTTGGCCACCTGCTGACAAGGCTGACAAGATAGGACCCTTTTGTCCATTGTTATTGGATAGGAACAGAACTTATAACCAGCTCCTGACCTAAATAGATCTTAGCACAACATTTTACTCAACATATCATATTCCATATTCACTATAACAAATATATTTACTACGACAATAGATCATTTTATTTAATTAAGACGAAGCCTTTACATTTTTAAAATAGGCCTATGATTTATTGGTGTTAATACTCTTGCAAGTATTGGAATACTAACATCTGTTAGAATATTTTAATAACCGTGCCCATCGCTAGTTTTTACAGGTTGTCAGATCAAGGTAGTTTGGGGTTTTAATTTACTTTAGATTTTGATTGTTTTTCTCTCCACTTTTTAATGTTATGTCTTAATTTTGGGGGGACTGTAGTAGGACATGGACTTGGAGTTGCTTTGAGATGTAGTCTTCTGTAGCTCAGCTGGTAGAGCACGGCGCTTGTAACGCCAAGGTAGTGGGTTCGATCCCTGGGACCAACCATACACAAAAAACATGTATGCACGCAAAAGCGTCTGCTAAATGGCATATTATAGATGCTTGTTGGTTTGGGTGTTTACTTTTGTATTTTGCCTGCAATTTGTTTGTAAAATACTATATGCTCATAAATATAAGAAACAATTTCTTACCCCCTGCTTTAATCTGAAACTATTCTAGAGATGATTTTAAGCCTTACACCTTCAAGATTGTAACATTGTGGCAGGGAGTTATATCTTATGGGGTGGTTCACATACATCTTCTTGCCACCAGATGGCAGTCTAGCGCCTCAAACCTCAGTTGAAGGAAAGACCGGGATGACAACAACTGTTTATTTGATTTTTTTATTTAACCTTTATTTAACCAGGTAAGCCAGTTGAGAACAAGTTCTCATTTACAACTTCGACCAACAATCTTGTACAACCATCAAGAAGTCTCACATGCTTTCCTTTTCAGGCTTTCACTCAGTTGTAGCAACATCAAACCAAATACCGGTAATCAGCTAAAAACAACATGTATAGGATATGTTTCTTCATTTATAGCATTGTGTGGCGATTTCCATCTATCCATGTTGCAGAGATCAGCACAGCAGGGCTGTCAGTGTCGAGATTGCGTAATTCAAATCTGGTATTGGAATAAGAATCAAGAGATCTTCAATCCAAGCTTAATTTATTATATGCAAAATGTATTGTATGATAAGTATGAAAGTTCGTATACGGGCTCACTGTCAAACCACGCAGGGCCGACAGAGAACTAGAATTATTGTTTACAGAAATTTCTCAAGTACTCTTCTGTTGGCCAACCAGAGCAAAGGACTGAGTGTGGTTCAGCCAATCCGTTGGCGCAGGGTGGGCCCCAACTCCTCGGCACTCCATTTGTTACTAGACATGGTTGCTATGATAACCTGCGGAGCCAGCACCGAGAATACACAATATCCACTGTATCCAGGTTCAAGGACAGTTTCACAGAATACAAAGAGGCAGTGAGGTCTAGTACTTTGAGACACAAGTTCTTATCTCCCCCTACTCCCTAAAACAGCTCCTCACATTATCACAGCAGCACAGCACAAACCCTTCACTCCTAATCATCAATGCATTCCTTCCAGGTAGTCATCTCATACAGATCCAATTATGAGAAAAATAAAACCCAACAATTCCCTCTTTTGACGCCCTCTAGGGTGTCACTCATTAAAATACAATACAAACAAAAATAAACACTTTTATTAATAGACAATTTGATAATAAAAGTCCTTCAGTCCTTCCATCGACACCCAACTTGCAAACTGTTACCAGTCATCAAAGAAGTTCAAACCATCACATAAGGAAAGACAAACATTCACATGGCTAACTTGATTAATAAAGCATAAAACACAGGATTAATAGAACACAAAACACAAGATTATTAAAACTCTAGGGTGTGATTAAAGATTTTTAAAGGGACATTTTTGAATTCCCTCTTTTGACACCATTTATGGTGTCACTCTAAACAGAGTATAATCACCCTTAAGAATAACAGGATATGGAAATTAAATCACAACATTTAATGTTAATAAAAAATAAAAAATTATAATTTTAACCCTCTATTCCTCCCCTACACCTAACATGTACTGAGTTGGCTACCAGCCACCCAGGAATCCTTTACCTTCACATCAGGAAGAATAAACAATCACAGTGGTTAGTAAAAACTAAGGTAATAAATGAGCAAGAACTGAAATAAATGCGTGTATGTATTTTACTAGGCAAACCATGGATCATCCAGCTTGGTCTCAGAGTCAGTAGCAGAGTCACCCGCATCATCCTGGGCCGGTAACAACAGCATCATACCTGACGCCTGCACCGCTCCTACCACTGACCTCCTGAGACAGGGGACGATGCAAGCAGCACAACACATTAACAGCAAAACACAATTATTAGGGTCAGAAATCCAGTAACCACCATAGAAGAGTACTCACCAAACCAGTCACTCAGCCAGGAAATAAGACAACATCCACAAAGAACAAGTATACCCATAGAAGCTATAACTTCCACCCAGAATAGTCACAACAATAGTTTTCCATTTACCAAATATGTTATCAAACCAATCGTTTATGGAGCTATCAATACCAGAGTTCTCAACCAGTTCGTTTCGCCAGCGTGGTGATGGTCACTCAAGCGCTTTGGTCACGGGCCCGTCCGGTGCTATATTGTTGGAGATGAAAGTACAACACATATATCCAAACAGAACACAAACCCCGTCCTGCTCAGCCAAAAGCATATCTAAAGCTATTCTATTCTGCCATGTCATTAAGCTAGTTGCCGCTGTCTGCTCAGCTAATCCCTTTATTGCATCACGAGTGTGGTTTATAAATCTTTGCTGGTTATATTAAATATAATTTATCCAATCTACATTTTTATTAATTGTTGACCATCAGAAATACTTGATTCAAACCCAGCTGCGATCTGATTGTGGATCCCATCAATATATATATCCTTTCATCAAAGGCTCCCGGGAGGAGGTCCTACTTTCTATGTGACAACTCACCAGTCTCTGACACGTTTGATTGTTTGCGTATGTAGGTGAGTTCACAATCAGTTATCACCACACATCCATCAGATGTCAGCACGGGCCTGGTTTTGGCTCCTATAATCCTCTGACTGCAACAAAAAGGAAATATTAGTCATGTTTTCTTTCAGTTGTGATATCTCTGTGTAGGAGCAGAGCTAAGATGCCCTACTCTGTATCCTATCTTACTAGTCCTAGAAAAACAATTAGAATCCCCTGAGACTTCAAACGTAGGCAACCCAGGTCGGGACGACCCGTTATCGGGCTTGCATGGAGGATAAACCTGACAGAGAGTCAAAGCCTGTCAAGGGGAACGGAGTAGTTGTCAACCCTGGTTTGGCTGTCCCACAGGCAAAACAGTCCTCTTTAGACATAGTTTTTTGCCGTATACTGAATCCATTCCAACCACAGGTTAAGATTTCTATACCCCCGTTTCCACCTGTACTACTTCCTCCAGGTCTATAGTTTTGCACTATCTTACCACAGCCCCGGTCTCACTACCTCCCTCAGAGAGGTTTACTCTAGAATTTCCCCTTTCCCTACGTCTAGCTGTCTCCTATGCCTTTTCAACTTGTGTTAGGTTAACTACTACTTCTGGCTGAAACAGGAGGGTCCGTGT